TTTTTTTAAAAGAGGTGTTCAATTTGTCAACGACATCGTGGTTGAAACCGTGCCCATTCAGCCACGAAGATTTTGGATTTCAAAACCCAATCCACGCTCGCCAGCGAGCCCATTGACATTACAACCAGCTTTTCAACAAGATAATGTTATATACTGTCATTTCCTGTGGCTTTCTTCTCTTGTGTTCTTTGCGGAAAACGCCGAGACGGGAACCCAACACATCAGAGATGATGCTTTGGGAAATATACATCATTCACATGGATGATCAGGATGATCAGGAATGGTGGTAGTGGAGCATATTGCGGCGCATATGTTAGCGGAGCATTTGGTGTAACAAGAGAAATGATAAGATTGAAAGCTGAGAGAAAAGTAAGCTACATACAGTACCGGCGTTGCCGCAGAGTAAGAGAAGAAACACCTGACAATTATTGATGCGGGATGGCCATAGGCTTGCAATCTTAAAAATGTCTACGCGCACCTCATGAGAGCCTGGGCCTCGCTTACTTTCAATCAAGACAGCATCAAAATGCAAACTGAAAGCCAACAAGTTGGCTGTGGATCATCTTCCAGCAAGCTGGACGACGATTTCAACATCAAACACGCTTTTTTTCCATCCTGCTGGTTGAGTCAGCGCGTGTTGGCACCGGAAGCGGCAGCCGCTTCAGCAGCTCTTCTCGCCTTACGTTTGGCTTCTTTTTGGTTCTTGCGATCTCTCTTCTCTCGCTGCTGCCATTCCCAAGATGTTTTTGGCTGTGTAAACTTCTTTCCTCCTTTTTTTATCATTGGATCCTCTTTGGGGATCAAGGATTCGGCGTCTTCCCGGAGCCTCTTCTCCTTGACTGCTCTTTGATCAGCTTCGGCCTTCTCTTGCTGCGCTGCAGCCAACTGCCTCGACAAGGTCACCGCCACTTCTTCCGCCTGGTGCTTTTCAGAGGCCAATTGCATGAACCGCTGAGCTAGTTGGTCCAACCGTCGCGTTGGGGTAGCGCTGCTGCTTGAACATGGTCGACGGATGTGGTCTGATGCACGGGAACGGAGCTCGTCATCATCTTCCTCAAAGACGCTGGATGCAGAGCAGAAAAATCGAAGGCATCAAAAATATCGCCACCCAAACAAAATCATATTTACTAGTGAAAATGCCTCATACCAAGAAGACTGCCTTAACCCTTTGCCATGCAAGGAACCCAATCAGTTGGAGATGTCGTCACAGGGATGATTTTTACATCGTTGGACGCGACTGTCTCAGCCTTATCCACAATGGTCGGCTCACTTGGACTCGCTCTGAACGTTGTAGGAGGAACCAAAACAGTGATCTCAGAACGCGCCATCATCTCAGAGGGCGGCTCGGTCTCGTCGTCTGCGTCACCTTGCAAAAATGCCCTCTCAGAGGGCGGCTCAGTGTCGGCATCTCTATCATCCTGCACTGCTCCTCGCAAGGCTTCCATGAGAGCTGCATCCATCATGGCTCACGACCACGAAAAGGAAAGAGCTAAATCCAGTCTGTTTGGGAATCTTATATTTATTACGTCGACATGGCTGTAGTCAGACTAAGCCAAAGTTGCTGTCAGCCTATTAACTTTCTCTGGTGATCCCTTCCAGCTCAGATCCTTAAAGGAATAGATACAGGAACATCACAAGTGAACCATATCATTGACAATGACATCGAAACGCACAGCAAAATATTGAGCAATCAAGAAGGCCAACAAGTTGGTCTTCTTCTTCCTTGCCAGCAAGCTGGCTAGGAAAGTTGGACTTTTTGCTGGCAAGTTTGGGCTAAAGGTGCATCTTGAAAGATTGTGTGTCCACCCCTGTGAACACAGCGACACTCTTCTGAGTGTCGACTCCAGGGGCCGTGCTGCAAGAGCGCAGCTGGGCACGTGAAGCTGTCAAAAAGCGGGGGGTCTGTATAACACATACATGACAATTTCTCAACGACGCCTAAATAAGGAATCTCGAAGACAGGTCATTCAGTATATGGCCGATGATGAAGACTTAATTCCCGCCAGCTTGCGTGATGGAAACGCTGAAAAACATTTCATGGATGCTGCCAAATGATCGATGGTATTGCGAGATCAGGTTCGGAAAACTGTGATGAACCAAAAAGGGAGCATACACCTATAGTGCAAATGATCTAAATATATGATATCCATGTCAAAATTTGGCCCGACCTCGTGCAGATGGCAGTGCCGCCATAGCGCGTCAGCTTCGTGTCATTGGCAAAAACACGGCAAACAACACACATTCAAAATTGAAATAAGGTGGGTCCTCTCACCTTTCACAAGTCTGAGACTGACTGGCTCTGACCACCTGACCACGTGACAGCTGGCGCATCGCAGCAGGACCTTAAAGTCTACTTGTGACAAGGAATCGCGCTCTCACCAGGCAACTTCACATTGCCAATCAGGTGCCAGACTGGCTTAATCGGCGACAAGCCTTTGGTGCTCCACCGGACATACCAGATCATCTGCAGGGGCGAATCGGCACTCTTCACTAGACTTGACACCTTGTGGCCGCAATTCTTATGCGACAACTCGGTGCCAGCCTCAAGCTTTGACTGGAAGATCACGCGGTGGGTCACCGTCAGGCTAAACTCACTCAGCTTCTCGGCTTCGTTGATCTTGTGGTAACAAATCTTTGCATCGGGCTTCTTGGCGCGCATCTCAGCCAAGACAACCCCCAAAGACTGCACCGACCCATTCAAAAGAACGAGGTCGCGGTGGCTTTTGAAAGCCAATTCCACGGAATTCTCTGGTAGCTGCTGGCCATCCTTGAGCACCTTCCATGTGCCATTTCCAAAGAAAGCGATGGCTGGGTCAACGCTGGACCACTCTTTGGTACCTTTGTTCACCACAAAGATCTCGGACTCGGACCGAAGGTGAAGGGCCATAGAAATGTCCTTTGCTGTGGGCAAGCTGAACTCATGCAACAAAGCGGTGGAAATCTGCTTCGCCTCAATGATGCCAGCATTCACTGAAGACATATCTGCGCGAAGCTTCTTTGGGCTAGGGCCACCGCTTCCAGATTCACCAGGCCTCTTTGGAGCTCCCCCCCTCGGGTTCATTGGCATTTTTCTGTTCCTGTTCCGGATCGATGACCTTGTACTGCTTCAGGAAATCCTCCAGCCAAGCCTGAAACTCTTTTCCACATTGGGCATGATCTTGCCATTCCCGGACAATGGCTGCAGGAATGGACAGGTTTTCATCTTTGATCACCTGAGTTGGGACAGGAAGGCTATAGAAAAAAA